CGCGTCCCAGTATTATCGCGATGTCTCTTTGACGATAACGTATTAATTATTTTCAGGCCAAGTGACGAGTATATCCGTCTCACCTTTTTGTCTCTCTCTGTCTCTCGCTCTCGTCGAACCACTATCGATGACAAAATAATTATGCGCGTATTACGCAGATAACACGCTGGAGGGTGCGCTTTTAAATCGCCATTATAGCGGAAGTACGTGCGGGAAACAATATAAACTTGAAAATTAACCCTTTCAGCGATTCCACATTCTACACTTAGAAATTAAATTCCGATTACGCACGCGTGCGTGCGCGCGCGCGCGCGACTCATGAGCCATCATGGCGCACCGTTTAGGCAGGCGATGAATCGCGCTAACCGCGATCATTAATTTCCCTCATTATCGCGATATTATCCGGAGCGAGCTCCGGCCTCGGGAATAATCCCGCTGGTGGGCCGCGGCACGGCACGGCGCAGCGCGACGAGGCGATTCGGCCCCCGCGGGCACGCACGTAGCCGTGGAGACCACCTTTGCCGCCGACCGAGAAAACCGCCTGGACGGCCGGGGAACGCTCGGTGATTTCCGAGCGAGTGAAGAAATGCGGCCGAATTAAAGCTCCGTTTGCTTCGGGGGGGCCACCGCGGCCGGCCGAGCGGCGAAGACCCACTCTCGACGGCGACCGCGGGGACGGGAAAGACGTGGCGGTGGGGCCCGGGCGTAATTGGTTCTGCATATTTATGAAGGCACTCCTAACCGAAACTCGCTCGCTCGCTCGCTCGCGCGGCGTCCTCCTCATCTTTGTCGTCATCCGCAGCCTCCGATCGCTCGTGTACGCGCGAATCCGCCTCGCGGCTGAACGCGGATGGACGGGTATCGATGGGTACGTGACTGTTGACTTGGGTTTGCGTTCTGCCGGCCGAGAGGCGAACGCTCTGCTCGGTTACTGCCTGTGCCAATGTCTTATACGCGTCTTAAGGTAAATCCCCCGATGACTGAATTAATGAGATGGTACGATCGATTTTACATTTTTGTTAATAAATAATTCGCGGAATTATTAACGAAACGAACGTTTACATGAGACCTTGCCAGCGATCGGAAAATAACAGGAAATAAAATAATCAATAAATATGAATTATAATTTTAATGAGATATTGGGGATAATGCCGGCTGTACCAGTAATTTCATTAAAAAATGAACTATGTCCTAATTATCGAATAATATAGACTTAATGAATGAATGCTCATTAAATAGTATTACAAAATGCACAAAGGAAAGAATTTTAAAGAAAATTTCGAAAACCTTTTTAGAAATTTTAAATATAAGGTTAATATTTTAATTAGTTACAAGATAAAATAAGTAGTCTCATTGTGAAAATAAATAAATAAATTAATAATACGCGTGTTAAGCTAAGTACACAAAAATTGAACATTTCGAATTATAATTGTGTTATATTTTTGGAATTTAAGGTAAGATTTTATTTTCTTTATAATATTTTCTCAAAAATGGCAGATGTATCACAGTTAGTAACATGACAGTTTAGTTTTGTGACGAAAAGAAAGTATTCCAAATAGTAACCAAGTAATCTCATCGTGAAAATAAAGAAATATATAAATCTATTGATGAAAAATAATAAGTTTATAGAATAATCTCACACATATACACACGCATACATTCACGCATATGTATACGCACGCCCGTATGCCACGCAACATACACACACACACACACACACACACACTCGCGCACTTGCACTCACGCACGCACACATACACACGCGAATGCATGCACTTTCGAATACCACAAATTGGTACAAAATCATGAATGCATTACTAACCTATTATTGTGATAAATATGGCAATTTAAATAAGCTCATATTTGTACTATTTAGTAAATTCTGGAAGAATAAATTATGATATTAATGCTGTTTCTTAACTCTATAATAAATAAGATTTACAAAGCTTATGTTTTTTTTAGAAATGACAACGTCTATATCATTTTGTCATATTTATTTAGATTGATAGCATTATATAGTTAGGTATTGGTTTAATGTGCCTAATTTTGTATTTAATATCTTTCTTCGACCACTTTCTTTGTTAGAAACTTTTTATCTCATCTTTCATTATTAATTTTTTTAAAGAGCTTTTGAAGGAAGGCAGCTGTATCGATCGACGCCTGCAGGTATCAATATTTTAATACGATGATATCGATACTTTGTTTTGATACTAATAAATGATATTGACATCAATACTGAGGTATCGAAACATCTTTACTAACGGCGATAGTTCGAACAGTACTCGCCAACATTTCAGAAGTTAACAGTTAGTATCACATGTCCATGTATTACATCTATAGAGTTATTTCTTAATTTTAAGCAATTTAAATGATTACATGTCAGAATTGAAAGAAGGATAATTTTATAAAGGATAATTTTATAAAAAAAGTATTATAATAAGATATATAATTTTCGCAGTTGATTTATATATGTCACTAATCGATACTAAAATATTTATTTGTCCCTATTTTAATAACAATTACTTGATCTAAATTACTTGAAATTAAGAAATAACTCTATAGATGTAATACATAGACCTGTATTATATGCATATAATATTAATTGTTAACTCCTGAGATATTTTACCGGTTCGATACTTTTGCCGCATCCTGTACAATTGCAAATATATACAATTACAAATAACTACTATATTATATTTATTTTATAAGAAATACAAAGAAACAAAAATAAAATAAAATTAATAACTAAAAAAAGTAATATAAATAAAAGATGTGCAAAGAAAACTAATCTTTGAACTATTTATTTTCTCCAATACTACTCTGGAACAAAAGTTTCTGCAAATGTTTATTGTATTATAATGACTGTCTATTTCTAGATTATGTTATTGACATCAACTTTTGCGATTTGCAACTAATGTAAAATCGGCCTTAGATATTGGATCGTCGTACGTTGGGTCTTGGACACGATATGAATCCTCCATTTAGATTTCATTTGGTATCGATACCGATACTAGAATTCTGCTTTTGATATCAATTCAATACTGATAAAGTATCGCTTGCGGTATCGATACCGAATAATATTAGTATCGAATAAAAAATATCGATACTATACTCATATCAGTAGCTCATATCCCTAGCTGTCAGTAGTACATTTGTAAAATTTTTATTTCAGCTTTTAATATTATGACTTTTTATATTAAGAAAAACTTAAAATTGATAATATATAGAGAATGTTCCAGACTTTCTTCTACAATTTTTACGCGAATGTAGAACGGATTGAGATGAACATGAAAGTTACATATCGTTTTGTGATTTTCGCGATAAATCTCGAGATATCAATTAAGGCTGCGTTCGGAAACGTCACTCAAGTGTTCCCGTTGCGTTGGAGTGAGTGAGATACAATAGTGAGATAAAAAGAGAGGGAGAGTACTCGAGTGACGTTTCCGAACGCAGCGTAAAGAAGATTAGTGAATAATCACGCGCGATATGGTAGATGAGCTGTAGTAACGCCATTTCCGTTGTATATTTATACATTAAGTCAAACTAAACAAAAAAGTCTTCTACCATTTTGCAAATTATCACATACATTTTTAGATATTAATTAAGGGGTCTAGAACGGTTTGAAATCTTCAAAAAATCGATTTTTGGGTTTTTACGTAATCGTTTAGTACAATTCCTTAAGAACATTTTGGCGCAAAAAGAACCTCGATATTCATAAAATTGAGTTCAGGAGAGCGAAAAATATGAGGTAGTGCGCGGTCGGCGCACAATGGGCAAAAAGGCTCTCTCGGTGAACAAATTAGTTTACACGGTATAATTTATAACCGATTTTAATTCTGTTTTTTTCTAATTTACTCGTTATGAATTGTCCTATAACTTTGTCGAGTCACTTTTTAAAATTACAGCTTTAATTCAATATGGTAAGCACAAAATTGTCTTGGAAACATAGAAACTATAAGATATTGAATATGCTTGTATCAGACAAAATATATATAGGTTTTAAGAATTCTTAATTACATATATGAGGTCAAAATTTTAATTTCTTGCTACTTAAGACGACTTGAAACGACCCGAAATGTTTTACGACTTTCTGATATCTTCATACTAACAGTGCATTCAGATTACGTCTTTGTTCACACTTTGTACATATTGCTCATTAAAATATTTAAATTTCAAAATTTAGCTTAAAATTTACATATTTTAATAAGCAACATGTATTAATATGTGAAATGTGTGAACAAAGACGTAATCTGAATGCACTGTTAGTATGAAGATATCAGAAAGTCGTAAAACATTTCGGGTCGTTTCAAGTCGTCTTAAGTAGCAAGAAATTAAAATTTTGACCTTATCTTTAAATATATTTTTTATCTGGTGCAAGCATATTCAATATCTTATGGTTTCTATGTTTTCAAGATCATTTTGAGTCCGCCATTTTGAATTAAAACTCTAATTTTAAAAAGTGATTCGACAAAGTTATAGAGCAATTCATAACGAGTAAATTAAAAAAAAACAGAATTAAAATCGGTTAAAAATTATACCGTCCAGATTAATTTCCACCGAGACAGCCTTTTTGCCCACTGTGCGGCGGAGCGCGCGCGATCATGAGTGTAAGAAATGTAGATAATATCAGGGTTGGGAAGTAACGCGTTACTTGTAACGCCGTTACCGTTACAGTTACTTTTTTTTGTAACTGTAACGGTAACGGCGTTACAAATTTTGTTTGTAACGAAAAAAGTAACTTCGTTACATTTTTTGGTAACGAGTAACGAAAGTAACAGTTACTTTTATCGTTACGTTTCCGAATTTACTTGATATAATTTTCAGGGAGCGGTGCACTTGGACACGGTGCATTTGGACACAGCCAATCACAGCACCGTGTGATTAGAGACATTTGTAGGGTCCCTTGGAACAGCAACTTGTGATTGGACTGTGTCCAATTGCCCCGTGTCCAACTGATATACACCCTCGATATAAAAAGAAAAACAAGTATTTACTACCAGTTCTGAGTACCTTGCAACAAAAATTAGAAAACCTTAATAAATCTAATCTTATAGATTGTCATCCATTGGTTACGGCTATTCAACAAGGATTAGATAAGAGGTAATTCATTGATTTGGTCAATAATCTAATTAATACATATGCGATTAATACATGTGTTAAATTCAAATAAGAATTTAATTAATAAAAATAATAAATATTTTTTATTTCAAAGTACTCTTTTACAAGTTAATTAAAATGCAAAAAAATAATGTCGCTTCATTTATTATTACTTAATTTTAGATTCTGTACAACATTCGAAAAAAAAGAATTAATAATTGCAACATGCTTGCATCCAAAATTTAAGTTAAATTGGTTATCTGGAGAAAAAAAGAAACTTGCCGAAATCTACTTGGGAGATTTATTAGGAATCCAGTCAACTGAAAGTTCTCCAAAAGATATAAAGTCTGATGAGCACGATGATTTTTTTATTTTTGAACAACACAAAAGCACGCAAACTGAATCTGAAGAAGAAGAGCTACAACGGTTTTTAAAATCAAAAAATTGTAATATTGATATGCTAAATGACTATCCAAAACTTAAAAAACTTTTTCTTAAGTATAACACAGCGCTTCCAAGTAGTGCCTCTGTGGAACGCATGTTCAGTGTAGGTGGCTCTGTATTAACACCGCAAAGAGGACATTTGTACGATGATACCATCGAGCAACAAATTCTCTTAAAAATAAATAAAGAATTTCGATAAAAACTTATTTTGAAATAAAATCTGCGATTTTTAATAAAAAAAAATTTTATTTACATTTACAGCATATTAATAATTTTTATATAAAAAATCATGCATAAAGTTTGTTTTGTATATAAAAAAAGTAACGAAATTTGTAACGACTCATTATTTTTTGAGTAACGGTAACGGTAACGAGTTACTTTTTGAAATTGGTAACGAATAACGGTAACGAGTTACTTTTTAGAAAAAGGAACGGTAACGGTAACGAGTTACTTTTATAAAGTAACTTTCCCAACCCTGGATATTGTTTATTTAAAACAAAGTGATAAACAGTAATAACGGTTCGAAAAATTAGAAATAATAATATCGGAAACAAAGGCTATAGGTCTTTGTGTGGAAGTCACTGGTAACAAATATAAGAGTAACAACAAAGGAGACGAGAACAGTCGGTAGTAGAAGCAAAAATCTTAGCTGCAAGCCGGAAGGTTGCCGCTTATTGGGAAAACATATTAAACTTATTTAAATTGCTTAAATACTGCTTTTCTTATTGTTGGATTAATTTGGAATGGGTCGGAAGTAACATTAAAACCTTACAGTACCGATGCGCCTTTGTGTGGCAGTAGTAGAGACCAACAAGCGATCACTCGCATCAACAAAAGAGGTTAGGATAGGAAAATTTCGATTGCTATGCAAATAGAAATTGACCTTGAGACGTCATTATACAGCTTAGACAGTTTTTGAGCTTCGTATCTAACAATTTTCTTGCTATAAACCTGTTCTTAAACTTTAAACGTTTATTTTTTAAAACAGTTTTTAAAATATTTTCCACTCTTTTTGCCACGATAATACAAGAACGGCTAAAAATATCGATTTGATTTTTTTTTTTTATTAAAGATAAAGACATACTGCATAGATTAAACCGAACTTTGCATATGAAAATTAATTATCGTTTTAACAATAAATAAATTGAATTTTTAGACATTTTTTATTTTTTGTCTGCTATTTCTATAATTTTTGAGATTTTTTGTTCTATTCCGGTTCAATCTATAGAGGCAAATCTAATTTACAAAATGACGCTTGGCGTATTAAAAATTTTAACTCGTTTCCCCGGAATCGTGGCAAAACCGCAAAAACAACGTTTTCTTAATTTAACACTATCTCATTCAATTATTAATATTTTTTTAACTTTTACGGTTTATTATATTCCTAAAAGTATGTATAAAAACTAAGAAAAACAAACCTTATGTATGTTTATTCGTTCGTCTACAATTGTCATTTGAATTTCACTCAATTTTTGGAAGATGAAACCGTTCTAGTCCCCTTAGAGAAAACTTGTGCATTATTGCACACAATCATTTAATAATTTTCTTTCATTAATAATAAAAAATTTATATAGTTATTTGCAAAATGATAAAGGGCTTTTTTGTTTAATTTGACCAAATGTACAAGCACATAAGACATAATGTACAGCACACCTCGCCACTACAGCTAATTTATCACATCGCATGTAATCATTTACCAGTCTTCTTTAATACTAGATTTACGAGACCTGTCAATTTGATGGGTTTTGGATTTCACGAGCAAAATTACAGAAACTATTATTATTTTCTAGCAATTTTTGTTGACTTTTATTAATGGAATGATACGAATATATATTTAAATTATTCATTTACTTCTCAGACTTTTAATTTTGAAATTTTTATGTCGTATACCTATTTCTTCGGATACCCATCAAATTGACCGTCAAATTATCTCGTAAATCTAGTGTTAATAATTAATATCTTGACTATTATTGCGACTATCACAAAACGGTATAGGACTTTTATGTTCACCTCAATTCGTTCTACGTTCTCACAGAAATTGCGGAAAAGAGTCTGGGACATTTTATATAATATATAATATTTATAATATTTATTTATTAAACACTCACTTTTTTGTGATTCTGAGTAATGGTATTTCCGTTGTCGCTTCGAATGAAATTCCACTCATTTTGAATACCAAAAAGCCCAGAGAAATACATTTCGATGCTATCACGTTACATATACTCGGTACCGTGGATGTTTTACCATTCAAAAAATCGATGGTTAACAACAATTTTTGATCAGCTACATTCATTTCTATCTATGTGTCTCTTATAACTGTTGATTGATCGAGTAAGCGCAAACGTGTTCAATATATATGTAATATTTTGACAGTTTTACGTTGTGTTTTAGTATGCGTCAATAAAGAGGTAACAATAATCAGCAGAAAAAGAGAATATTATTGATAAGAATAAGAAAGAGCGTTAAGAAAGATGTTAAACAAGAATGTTAAGAAACAAGAATGTTAAGAAGAGGAGATAAGTAACAGATTAATATGTAAAATTAATATAAATAATTAATAATTGCTGAGATTGCATGTTACATGTAAGCAAATAACTTTTTTCACTGAAGCATAGGAAACGTAAAACTGTCAAAATATCATTTCTGCTTTGAATACTTTCCCGTTTTCAGGATTAATTAACATTTATGAGAAATGCATAAGATGAATATCTCAATTAGTGAAAATTGTATCTGTTTTCCTTAATAAATTAGCTAATATAAAATTATATTCATTTTAGGAAACATTTTCTTGTTCTTAGTTTTCTATCGCAACAAATTTCGAATGATATTAAAATCTAACTGCTACAGTCCTTAACTGCGACGGATATTCTTCAACATATTAGAAGTTGAAGGTTAATAAGATATTTATTATGATATTTATTTGCTAGATTTCTGTAACTATTCTTAGAGTTAAGGGAACACTAAAGAATTTTTTTTAGAAAATAATTCTAAAGAAATAAAAGAAGTAACACACACACATACACAAAATATGTCTTTCTTATGTTAAAAAGAGTTCATGTTACTAAGATACTATAATATTTATACGCTCTTATTATATACTACCGAAATAAACATAATAAAAAATAATATGAAAATTCTTATTTCTAAAGAGAAAATGTGATTTGTATATATTTATATATATTTTACTCATTATGAAATAAAAAAATAACATCGATATTATGATTTATTCCGCCAGAATATAGTAGCAAATAATATAAGTTTCTAATCTATAAATTGTCTTAAATATGTAATAAGGTAAATAGATAATTAGTATTTTTACATTTCATTTTTATATTCCAATAAAAACAACAATATCGAAAATAGTAATAAGTTTATAGTTTTTAAGCATAGTATATTTGTAAGTGATAGGTAGTAATAAAAATGTGTATATATTTATGTTCCCTATTGAGATATATGTCCCAAAGTGAGATAAGCTTGACTTTACATATTAAATATAATACATACAAATGATATGTCAGTTAATGTTTGCAAAGATATTATGAATAAATAAAAATGTTTTTATAAATTAGCAAATGCGATCTTTTCAACAAAATCAATTTTGTACACTTTGCCTAATACATATTTATTATTATTTATTATTATTATAAATATATTAGTTCCTCTTCACGATGAGGTTACTATTGTCACTAATTTCTACATTTCTTTCTACGTTTCTAATTTCTACATTTCTACATTTCTTTATTTTAACTAGAAATAAAAGCAGCTGGTCTAAAACTTTTAGTAACTGTCCATATAAATGATAAAGCATCCGCGGTATCAAGTGTATAGCTCAGAATTAACAGAAAAGAAAGCGACGCACAAGATATTGATTATTTTCAGTCGGACAAAATGACACAAAGCAAGTCAGAAATAAAAGAAGGTAAGTCGGCGACTTTGTGAAAGAGAATGAGAAGATACATCGATGATCTTACGAAAATAGACACGCCGTAATTTCTGGCGTGAAATCATTTCCCGCTACGGCATAGTACATTCGCACGCACACATAACAACATCTATCCGCACACACACCTAACCGAGCGTCATGTGTACCCGAGGGAAAAGCCTTGTTTTGTTTCCTCTCTATTGGTGCCAGTGAACGTCGCTATTTGTATCGTCGAGCGGGTATATTTTTCAGTTAACTTCGGTCTGTCGCTCTCTCTCTGGGCCGGTAGCCTGGTTGGTTCGACGAAGATAGGAGTCGTGGATCAGTTGTTTTGCAAATTGCGTTCTGTCAAGGAGGAAAGGCTGCTCGCACGATCTACGCTCGCTCGCGAGAATGAGGATCGAGCTATTTGATTATTAACCCTAATCTAACATATTGGCGTCATTTTTTATTCTAAGCGATTTTTAATTTTTAATTTTCCATTAGTAAAATGAAAATTTTTATTTTTGATGTTAAAAATGTTATAATTCTGGGAAATATTAAATTTAAATATAATTAAAGAGCCATTTCAATTATTGTTTATATAAAAAAATGCAACATTTTTTTTAGGTAGTTTTTTTTACCTCAGTGTGTTATATTAATTTGTCAAAATGTACAATAAAGGTAATTTTTCGTTATATTTTATATGTTACATATAATATACAGGGTGTCCTAGTTTCGTTTTCGCAACATTTGCGGGAACATAGAACCAGCCCTTACAAAAAAATACTATTAGTGGTAACAGTGTTACTAATAGTTTCACTAGCAGTGCTAGTAGTGTCACTATTAGTGCTAATAGTGACACTATTAGTGCTAATAGTGACACTGTTAGTTACACTATTAGTGCTGGTACTTTTTACGTTTAAAAAGATCTATTCTTTTTTTTTTAATAAATCATTTGTTTTCGTACATGGATATATCATATGTATACAATATAAAGTGTCTCTCGGTGAAAGTGGCGCAGTGGGTAAGGTGAACGACTCAAGAAGCAGAAGAGGTCTCAGGTTCGAGTCCCAACATAGCAAGCAAATTTTCAAAGTGCAATTTAAATTTAATTAAATAGCGTGTGAAACAATAAAGTGGAAAATTTAAGAAAAATTCGAGAAAAGAGAAAAATATTCATATTTTTTTTAAATATTTTTATAATATTTATAAATGTTTACACGTAAACGTTTAATAAATATTTAAAAAAGTTTATTAAATATTTTAAAAACGTTTTTTCCAAAACATTTGAAAAAACGTTTTTTTTTAATAAAAAAGAATGAACTTAATCCATTATTTTTAACTTTTTAAAAGTAACTACTAGAACTATTACCACTAACAGTGTCACTATAGCA